ACGGGGGGGTGGGAGGTAGGGTGACCAGATGTTCCGATTTTATAGGGACAGTCCCGATTTTTGGGTCTTTTTCTTTCTATAGGCTCCTATTACCCCCCACCTCCTGTCCCGATTTTTCACATTTGCTGTCTGGTCACTCTAGTGGGAGGTAATAGGAGTCTATGTAAGAAAAAGCTCCAAAAATCAGGACTGTCCCTATAAAATTGGGACATCTGGTCACCCTACCCTATTTCTACTTTCACCCCTGGACTTATCAGTCCTCATCCACAAAGGAAATCTGCACAACACTTTCAAAAGACGAGGCTGGGAGCTTAAATTCATAAGTTTGATAGACACTAAAACTCATGGTCTTAATAAAGACACTGGATTTATGGCTTTTTAAAACAACCTGTAACCCATTTACAACTCCCTCCTCCCCCCCTCCCCCGAACTGCTTCTTCCCCCTTTCCTCCCTATGACTGGACGAGTTTTAATGGGCCACTTCATCTTGAATGGTCCCTTGTTAACTACTTATGCTAAACAATCTTTTTCATCTTGTATTTAGCTGTGACACTCTGAGTAAGTTTCCCAGACCTGAAGATCTCTGTGTGGCTTGAAAGCTTGTCTCCCTCACCAACAGAAGTTGATACAATAAAATATATTACCTGACGCACTTTGTAAGTTTTATGACATTTCTGAAACTTTTCTTCTAGTCAACAGTCTTGACAACTACAAATTTGAATTTGCATCAGCACTTCAATAACCCTTAACTATTTTGAATATTGACCATCAGTTTGTGAGTGGTTTTGGCCTGACGGACACTTAAGATGAGATACTACGCTAGAAGAGATCTGCCCACTTATTAATTCTTCCATTTCCGACCTCATGTGAATACGAATCTACTGTTGATCGAGGCACAAAGAAAGTCAAGCCTTGCCTGAGAGGTTATACTCATAAGGGATCTTTTCCAATTCTCTCTAACTGACATGCAAAGCTCTCTACCAAATAAGAGTAGTCTGATTGGAGCTGACTGAGATATCTGAGCCATTAGTAATTATCTTAAAAAAGTCACGGAAGATGGAAGAGATTCCAGAGGACTGGAAAAGGGCGAATATAGTGTCCATCTATAAAAAGAGAAATAAGGACAACCCAGGGAATTACAGACCAGTCAACTTAACTTCACTAGCCTGGAAAGATAATGGAGCAAATACTTAAGCACTCAATTAGCAAACATCTAGAAGATAATAAGGTGATAAGTAACAGTCAGCATGGATTTGTCAAAAACAAATCATGTCAAACCAACCTGACAGCTTTCTTTGACAGGGTAACAAGCCTTGTGGATAGTGGGGAAGCGGTAGATGTGGTATATCTTGACTTTAGTAAAGCTTTTAATACTGTCCCACATGACCTTCTCATAAACAAACTAGGGAAATGCAACCTAGATGGAGCTACTATAAGGTGGGTGCAAAACTGGTTGGACAACTGTTCCCAGAGAGTAGTTTATCAGTGGTTCACAGTCATGCTGGAAGGGCATAACGAGTGGGGTCCCGCAGGGATCAGTACTGGGTCAGGTTCTGTTCAATATCTTCATCAATTATTTAGATAATGGCATAGAGAGTACACTTATAAAGTTTGCGGACCATACCATGCTGGGAGGGGTTGCAAGTGCTTTGGAGGATATGATTAAAATTCAAAATGATCTGGACAAACTGCAGAAACGGTCTGAAGTAAATAGGATGAAATTCAATAAGGATAAATGCAAAGTACTCCATTTAGGAAGGAACAATCAGTTGCACACATACAAAATGGGAAATGATTGCCTAGGAAGGAGTACTGTGGAAAGGGATCTGGGGGTCATAGTGGACCACAAGCTAAATATGCATCAACAGTGTAACGCTGTTGCAAAAAAAGCAAACATCATTCTCGGATGTATTAGCAGGAGTGTTGTAAGCAAGACACAAGAAGTAATTCTTCCGCTCTACTCCGCGCTGATTAGACCTCAACTGAAGTATTGTGTCCAGTTCTGGGCACCACATATCAGGAAGGATGTGGACAAAGTGGAGAAAGTCCAGAGAAGAGCAACAAAAATGATTAAAGGTCTAGAAAACATGACCTATGAGGGAAGATTGAAAAAACTGGGTTTGTTTAGTCTGGAAAAGAGAAGACTGAGAGGAGACATGATAACAGTTTTCAAGTATGTAAAAGGTTGTTACAAGGAGAGGAACAATTGTTTTTCTTAATCTCTGAGGATAGGACAAGAAGCAATGAGTTTAAATTGCAGCAAGGGAGGTTTAGGTTGGACATTAGGAAAAACTTCCTAACTGTCAGGGTGCTTAAACACTGGAATAAATGGCCTAGAGAGGTTGTGGAGTGTCTCCATCATTGGAGATTTTTAAGAGCAGGTTAGATAAACACCTGTCAGGGATGGTCTAGTTCGGGGCGGGCAAACTTTTGGCCTGAGGGCCACATCGGGTTTCTGAAATTGTATGGAGGGCCTCCTCAAACAGCCAGGCATGGCCTGGCCACCGCCCCCTATCCGACCTCCCCTGCTTCTCACCCCCTGACGGCCCCCCGGGGACTCCAGCCCCATCCAACCCCCCTGTTCCCTGATGGCCCCCCCGGGACCTCTGCCCCATCCACCTCTCCCTGTCCCCTGACCGCCCCTGGAACCCCTGCCCCTGACTGCCCCTGATCCAACGCCTCCTCTCATTCCTGACTGCACCCCCGGGACCCCTACCCCATCCAACCCCCCTGTTCCCCGCCCTCTGACCATCTCGCCCCCTATCCACACCCCGCCACCTGACCACCACCCTGAACTCCCCTGCCCTCTATCCAACCCCCCCTACTCTCTGCCGCCTTACCGCGCTGCCTGGAGCACCAGTGGCTGGCGGCGCTACAGCCGCACCGCCCAGAGCACCAGGACAGGCAGCTGCGCCGCCCAGCTGGAGCCAGCCACGCCACCGCGCAGCACAGAGCACCGGGTCAGGCTGCGGCTCTGCAAGAGCCTTGCTGGCCAGAGCATTGCGCCGGCGGTGCGGCGAGCTGAGACTGCGGGGGACGGGGACGGGGGCCAGCCTCCCGGGTCAGGAGCTCAGGGGCCGGGCAGGAGGGTCCCGCGGGCCAGAGTTTGCCTACCTCTATTCTAGAATAAAGTATGAACAATACGATACAACAACATGCTAACTATTTTGATACCATTATAAAAGCCGTGGAAGGAGGGAATGCAGCCGATGTAATATCTGGATTCTTGCAATGAATTTGGTAGCATCTCACAAAATAGTACTTGCAAAGTTAATTCTGATTGGCTTCAATATGAGTTGTGTTGCGCGGACACACAACGACTGAAGGATCATGAAAAAGGAAACAATAAATGGCAATGTATTAGCTGGTTGCCAGGTATCCAGTGAGCTGCCCCTGGATTGGTATTTGACCCATTTTTATTCCATTACTTATTCCTGAAATAATTTGTTTAAAATCTTCCCTAAAAACCCCAGCTGGTGTGGGAGGGGTGTGGAAAGGTAATGAACTCAGAGCCATCGGGTCGGTGGTGCTGGAGTGACAGCTTGGTATGAGGCGAGAAAACTACGGGCTGCATGCATATGTGAGCAGCAACAAATAGCAGGCGGATCAGAATTGGGAACGTCAGATGGAGTGGGTGGCTAGTGAAAGCAGGAGCAGTGGGGGCAGTGGCGGTGATATATAGAGGGAAATGAAGATGATGTTATAAGAAGCCAGAGCAGTGGACAGTAGTACTTGTGGAAGAGGAGGAGGAGGGGAGCTGGGGAGAGGAGCAAATTACTTCAAAATGGGCGCACCACCAGCCAGACTGATGTGCAAGCTCTTTGATGGGAGAACAATCCATTCACACCACTACAGTGATGTACCAGAGTGAAACAGTTAATGAAGGAAAGGTAAACTACTCATTAGGGGGCAATTTTCAAAGGCACAAAGGCAGTTAAGTCTCCCAAGTCCTACTGAAAGTCTATTTGCGCCTTTAGAAATCTCCCCCTAGATCTACGGAGGATATTCAATTGGAAGGTGCTGCAAATACCAGTGAAGACAGAAAAATAATACCCAAGAGTTTTTCCACAAGCTCAAACTGCCCAAGTGTCAAATAAGAAAATCCGCCCATTGACCCAGTCCCCTGGGAATTCCATCATGAAGAGGGGAATGTAATTTTTGACAGATTTACAGTAATTGCAAAGGCTTCTTCTGATGGAAACTTATTTAGAAAATGGAATATCCATAGGTCTAACGTAGGCCCTTAATCACCACTAGCACCCTGTCCTGGGATTCTGCCCTGGCACTGGAATCCATGCTAGTGTGGCCCTTAGCTACATTGAAACCAGAAGCTCAGACAGACTTAAGTAATGAGGTCACTTTGGAAATCGGACCAAAACCCCTTGCGCTATGTATAAATAACAACATGACACAGACTGACAAAGGCCTTAAAAATATGAAAGGGCAGTCTGGCAAAATAATTTCCTGGCTTTCTTTATTGTATGTCCAACTGTTACAGTTATTTTTTTTCCCTACTCAGTTTTCTTCATATTTCACTTAATTGGGTAAACATGTATTTGGAGAGGCAGTAAAGCAGTAAAAGAAATTTGCATAACAAACTGGAATACCTCCTTCAGTTCTAGAATATGGGGTCTGCAGGAAGATATTAGCGTTCTGCAAAATATCTGTCACCTTCAAAGACAGGAATAGATACTGTGAGGTGGAAGAAAAACCCTAAAAGGTGTCAGTATTTTTATTATTTGGACTTGAAGGATTGATTTAATTAACAAACATTATTTTCCTATTGGCCGGAGGGCTTGTTATGTATTAACCCAGAATGTAATGTTACTGCTGAGATGTGAACCATTAAAAACAGCCATAGGTGTCAGCTCAAGTACAGCAAAGCAAAACACAAACTCTCAGGACATCTGCAGACAGAGCTTAAAAAAAAACTCTTCCCAGCATTTTTCTGACTCTTAATCAGGGCAGCTACTGAAAAACTAGTGATGTGTTTAACTTACTGAAGATTTATCAGGATAGACACCAGCTCGCAGTAGGGATGCCTTCCAGCTATCCATCTCCTCCTGGGCATCACAGGACAGCTCAAGGAAGCGATAATCCTTGTAAACATTCCTAGAACATAGAACATTACACTGTAAAATTTGAACTTTGCTACTCTGCATCACGTACACAGCATTTCAAATCAAAAATCCTTCAGGATCTATAATTATTTGATAGCTTTTTGAAAGGGGAGACAAGTGACGGTCTGATAAGGACCTAAAATGTTAATTTAAAATAATAATGGTCTGGATGCACTGTAGTTACAGAAGCTTTAGATCTATTTTAAAAATCAGGCTTTCCACACTATTAATAAACACTAGAACACATTTAGAGGCAAAATGCTGCTGGAACACAGAGGACAAAGACAGTTGTGGAAGAACTGCCAACAAAGTTGTATGGTCTCTGACTGGCAGCTGCTGTAGCCAATGAAAATCAAGATTAGTAATGAGTTTATTTTCCCCATAGTAAATCTCTCCAGTACAATACTAGTTCAGTTTTAGCTTCCGAACATCTTCAATAAAAGGAAAAATATTTAAAAATGACTGAGTTCTCAAACACAAAAGGATTCCATAACCATAAAAATACCTCAGACACACACATCATCTACTGAAGGGGTTCTCAACCTTTTTCTTTCTGAGCCCCCCGTCCTCCCCCAACATGCTATAAAAACTCCACGGCCCACCTGTGCCACAACAACTGCTTTTCTGCATATAAAAGTCGGGGCCAGCATTAGGGGGTAACAAGCAGGGCTATTGCCCAGGGCCCCACGCCACAGGGGCATCACGAAGCTAAGTTGCTCAGGCTTCGGCTTCAGCCCCAGGTGGTGGGGCTTGGGGCCATGAGCTGCAGTCCTGCATGGCGGGGCTTTGGCATTCTGCCCTGGGCCCCAGTGAGTCTAATGCTGGCCATGCTTGGTGGACCCCCTGAAACCTGCTTTCGACACCCCAGGGGACCCCAGATCCCTGGTTGAGAACCAGCGACCTACTGTATGCAATTAATTTAATAACAAGGTGGATTAATTGTGTTTAGGGAGTAGCTTAATGGAAGAAAAGAGAAAGAAGAAAAAATACATGATCCGCAAGGCAGTGGTACTTATACATTCGCCATTAAATAGAACAGGATTTTTCCTTTATGGTTTAACCATTAATTATTACCTAATTCAACGTCTATACACAGACTAGATTGCTGTAAATTGGTCAGCCAACTGTCTTTTCAGGAAAGGCTACAAGCTTAGCTGAGCTAAATTGCGAAACCACATGTTGCTAGATCTTAATAGAGATGCAAGAATCTATTTTTAATTGCAACAAGACTGTTTTCCCTAGCACTAATGGAGCAATTTTGGGGGGGATTAAAAAGATCACTAACTCACACAGCAATAATTAGAGGTCCAAAGGCATTTTATATTAGAAGCACTCTCTCTAGCAATGTATGTTACCATATTTTGAGAGAATTTTTTAGACAAATTGTGCAACCAGAAAAATATATCCAGTATTACTACTACTTAGTCCATTTCTCTAGCATTCCAGGGACTTTGGGACTTTCACCTTTTACATATCTGGAGTACAATAGGTTTGTTATACTTCACCTTTGCCGGAGATTTTCCCTCCCCTTTTAATGACAATATCATCTGAAAGACAACCAACTCCTAAGCCTGTTTTTCAGATGGAGTATCAAGAAATAGATGGGTATAAAACCTGGACATTTAGCAATAAAACTACCATTTCTGTACTATCATGGGTAGTGATTCGTGTTATGCTACATTGAAGTGAAACATGCCCATATCAGCATATAGGCATACATGGCATTATTAGTGAGTTTATATATTTAATTAAAACTGCAAAAGATGATGGGTACAATTCTGACTTGACTTATTAGAGATTTAAAATGGATTTTTCTTTTTCCTCTAAATATATTACACACACGAGCAGCTAAGAAATCTGGGTTATCTTAGACAGGGAGCAGAGATATCTGAATCTTATTTCATCTACAGCGTTTGGGAATTTGGAATCAATATGTGTAAAGTAAAGCAAATTAAAGGATATGATGACAAGGGACAGAGAGGCTAAACAAGGCAGCTGGATAGAACTTGCTGATTTGCTGCCTGGAAACTTTTTGGTTTTAACTGTTTTAGGTAAATTAATTAGGTTGCCACAGTTACGGAAAAAAGATCAGCTAAAATGTGAGGAGGCACAAAATAAAAGCTATAAAACATGAAGATTGATGGATTCCCAGGCCAGAAGGGACCTTTGTGTTCATCTAGTCTGACCTCCTGTATAACCTAGGCCATACAACTTCCCCAAAGTAATTCCCACAGCCTATCTTTTAGAAAAACATCCAATCTTGATTTTAAAATGGTCAGTGATAGAATCCACTACGACCCTTGGTAAATTGTCCCAATGGCGAATTACTCTCACCATTAAAAATTTACACCCTATTTCCTGTCGGGATTTGTCTAGCTTCAACTTCCAGCCATTGGATCATGTTAGACCTCTCTCTACCAGATTGAAGAGCCCATTATTAAACATTTGTTCCCCATGTAGATACTTATAGACTGTGATCAAGTCACCCATTAACCTTCTTTTTGTTAAGCTTAATAGATAGGGCTCTTTGAGTCTAATGCTATAAGGCAGGTTTTCTAACCCTTTAATCATTCTCGTGGCTCTTCTCTGAACTCTTTCCAATTCATCTACATCCTTCTTGAACCGTGGGCACCAGAACTGGACACAATATTCCACAAGATGGCAAGAATCAAAATATATTTCACTGCAACAGAAAAAAAAAACTAAATAAATAAAAATTAAAAAAAAAAAATCATACCACTAGCTAGTCAAAAATCTTTTTCAGGGCTAGAATGCCAGAGTGTTGTGTTCCTGCAATGAAAATTATTACTTTCAACATCAAATTTCACTGTATTTTAAGCAATGAATGAGAAGGGAGTGTGGGCTACTGGCTACAGCAGGAGACTGGGTCAGGACTCCTGGATTCTAGTCCAGGTGTGCTAATGACTGTCTGTGCATCCTATGGCCGTGACTAAGTTATTGTACACCTCTATCCATCCCAGGGTACTTATATTACTGAGGGCTTCACAATCTTTTATTTATTTATTTATCCTCACACCATCCATGAGGTAGGGAAGTACTATTATCCCCATTTTATAGATGGGGAACTGAGGCACAAAGAGACTCTCTCACCCAAGGTCACACAGGAAGTTGGGGGGAGGGGGCAGGGAATTGAACCCAGGTCTCAAGGCCCATTTTAGCACACTCACCACTGGACTCTTCTAACCCTGTTCCTCAAACAGGGAAATGAGCAGCGTTGTCCAAAACCAAGGCAAAAATAACCTCTAAAGAACATCTCATGTTTTTCTGTAAGTAACAGAATCTTACAAAAAGAAACATGTTTTACATGAGCAGGTCCTCAAGGAAACCATTTTGAAGCACTTGGAGGAGAGGAAGGTGATCAGGAACAATCAATGTGGATTCACTAAGGGCAAGTCATGCCTGACCAACCTGATTGCCTTCTATGGTGAGATAACGGACTCTGTGGATATGGGGAAAAGCAGTGGACGTGATATATCTTGACTTTAGCAAAGCTTTTGATACGGTCTCCCACAGTATTCTTGCCAGCAAGTTAAAAAAGTATGGATTGGATGAATGGACCATAAGGTGGATAGAAAGCTGGCTAGATTGTTGGGCTCAATGGGTAGTGATCAATGACTCGATGTCTAGTTGGCAGCCGGTATCAAGCGGAATGCCCCGGGGTCAGTCCTGGGGCTGGTTTTGTTCAACATCTTTGTTAATGACCTGGATGATGGAATGGATTACACCCTCAGCAAGTTCGCAGATGACCCTAAGCTGGGGAGAGATGTAGATACGCTGGAGGGTAGGGATAACGGTCCAGAGTGACCTAGACAAATTGGAAGATTGGGCCAAAAGAAATCTGATGAGCTTCAACAAGGACAAGTGCAGAGTCCTGCACTTAGGACGGAAGAATCCCATGCACTGCTACAGGCTGGGGATTGACTGGCTAAGCAGTAGTTCTGCAGAAAAGGACCTGGCGATTACAGTGGATGAGAAGCTGGATATGAGTCAGCAGTGTGCGCTTGTTGCCAAGAAGGCTAACGGCATATTGGGCTGCATTAGTAGGAGCACTGCCAGCAGATCAAGGGAAGTGATTATTCCCCTCTATTCGGCACTGGTAAGGCCACATCTGGAGTATTACGTCCAGTTTTGAGCCCTCCACTACAGAAAGGATGTGGACAAATTGGAGTCCAGCAGAGGGCAACAAAAATGATTAGAGGGCTGGGACACATGACTTAAGAGGAAAGGCTGAGGGAACTGGGCTTGTTTAGTCTGCAGAAGAGAAGAGTAAGGGTGGATTTGATAGCAGCCTTCAACTACCTGAAGGGGGCGAGGGGTTCCAAAGAGGATGGAGCTCGGCTGTTCTCAGTGGTGGCAGATGACAGAACAAGAAGCAATGGTCTCAAATTGCAATGGGGACGGTCTAGGTTGGATATTAGGAAACACTATTTCACTAGGAGGGTGGTGAAGTACTGGAATGGGTTACCTAGGAAGGTGGTGGAATCTCCATCCTTAGAGGTTTTTAAGGCCTGTCTTGACAAAGCCCTGGCTGGGATGATTTAGTTGGTGTTGGTCCTGCTTTGAGCAGGGGGTTGGACTAGATGACCTCTTGAGGTCTCTTCCAACCCTAATCTTGTATGATTCTATGATTCTTCTATGATTCTACTCATTAAGGATCTACTGATGTCTCATGGAAAACTGAATTTTTTTTTTAAAACAATTGAAATTTTCTTTTTTTTCTTCCGCCTTTTAGAATTACTAAACATATTTGCACAGAAACAGGATATTCTTTAAGCATCATCTGTTTATTTCACATGGGATGCAATAATCTTGGGCTATCACTATCATCTCAATAGCAACTAACTGTGATGTCATAAACCCAAGTTAATGACATCTGACAGGGGAGTATGAAGCAGGAGTAGGTGAACTTCTAAGCAACACAAATTTTGTTTATATGCAAACATTTATAGCTGTGAAGAACATGGAAAGAGA